GGGCAGCCCCTCCGTCTTCCCAGGCAGAGGGGCTACCCCCGCCACGGCCACAGCCCGCACCTTTCCTGCTGGCACCGGGCAGGGGACACTCACTGTGAGCAGGGGACCGTGGGCAAGCACCTCCCAGCCCCACTAACACCACGATGGAGGGACCCAGCTCCCTCCCCGGGGGGGTGTTAGCGACAGCACCCACCCTCCGAGGTGACCCCGCGCTCAGAGATGAGCGCAGCACACGCGTCTGGGAGCAAGGCGACGCCTCGGGACGTATCTTCCTTTATTCCCCAAACCCAAATCTATCACAAAAAGGCTCAGTCCCACGGGGCAGGATTGTGTCAGATCAGGGGAACACTCAGCAGTTCAGAGGAAGCGCACGTACAAGGGGGCCGTGTGTAGCACCACATTACATTTATTTCGTATTTGAATTTGACTATCAAGCGATGAGCTGCACTTCAGACAGCGGCACTCTCAGTATGTACAAGATGAAATTGTTCATTTCTTCCCAAAAGCGAGCGGGGGAATCTTAATCATAGAAGTCATCAAATTCATCTGCTTCTGTGCTGTGAGTCGGGGGGCGCAAAGCAGCCTCGATCTCGGAGCCGCTGTCGTCAGATTCGCCCCAGAAAGCTGAGGGTGAGGAGAAAGAAAAAAAAAAAAAAAAACAAAAAAAGATAAATCTTTTCCAGGCTTATGTCAATTTATGCCGCAGGCACGATCACAGCTCCCCGGAGGCAGACAGGCGCCACGGCTTACGGCGAAGGTCGGTGTTCAGAAGGCTGCAAGGCCGAGGTGCGCGCTTCCGCCGCGGCGTGCTGCCGGCCCGCCGGGGTCTGCGACAGCGGAGCTGCTGTGGCCAAACAGCGGGCTCATTCAGAGGTCCCACTTCATTGTTCCTCAAGGTAGCTTGAGAGAACGTTTCCACTCCAAGCAATTTACTTGACCAGCTGCTGCCTGAATTACAGCTTTGTCTATTATGTTCCACGTTCTCCCTCTACTTGACCCTGCGGTGAAGTCACAATCGGAGCATGACATCACAGAGTTGGCATAAAAATGGCAATGATGTCACAAATGAAAAACCACCGCTTTGTGACAGGATCACATGCGGGCAAGACTGACTTCAGAGAACTGCGTGGCTTTAACAAACAGCTCTGGGAAGTAGCAAACACTTTCACTGAGACAAACAGAAGGACATTGAAATTCGGCGTGCCTGGGAGGTTCCTCGATACCTGAGTTCATGCGGCCGTGGAGAAGGGGAAAGCAGGGCACGTGGGGAAGCGCACGTCAAGCCCACAGCCGCGCAGGGAGCTGCGCTGCCCGTCTGCTCAGACCACTGCCAGGGGGCTGCTGGTTGCCCAAAGCCAGCGCCACCGCCACGATGCCCCAAAGGAGTCGCAAGGCTCAGAGACGGGGAGAGGAAGGCTGTCACACCTCACGCAGACATTTCAGCTCGTGTTTGACTGAGGCGCTCTGAACGCGCTCGGTGCTTTTGATGGCCCAAGCTATATAAAAACCTTATCTACAAATGCAGCAGCTGCGCCTTTCATCCTACATCCCCGGCCCCCTGGACTGCAGGCCTGCCCTCTGCCCGGCCGGGAACGGCAGAGCCATGCTGGCTGAACGCCTGGGAGGAGAACGGAGACGCTGAAAGGCTCCAAAAACCAGAGCTCCCCCGCGGAGAAGAAAAGGGGCTGGGGACACGAGAGAGGCCTTTCGGATGGCACCGACGCAGCCATCGTTTATGGCATCCCTAAGTCAGCTCGGGGCAAAGAGCTCCCTGCTCCCAGCGCCGATTTCACCTGCATTAGAGGTGACTGCAGATGCCAGCGGTTGTTACGGTGGTCAAAGGAGCAGAATGAAACACAGGGGAGAATAAAAACGTCTAGGGCCTAAACACCGATGTATAAGAAAGCCTGCTCGCTCATGGAAAAAAAAAAAACCCTGTTCCAGATGCGCACACGCGCAGCTTTGTGTGCCTACCTACTGTAAGCGTGCGCGCAGACGTGCGGCTGCCCACCCACGCTGCGACCCCAGTTCAGAGGGAAGGTCAGGGAAGCGGCAGGGTTTTCCTTCTCCAGGTGTTCTCCTACCTGTGATTAGCTGCTGTGTGATTTAAGCCCTGAAGCAACGACTTCCAAATCCACTGCTCCTTCCAAATCACATGCAATGATCCCTGCTCCTTCCTCACCGTGCGCGCTATGGAACATGTCCTCTCTGGGCCAGAATCTGTCATCGCCAGCTATTTTCTGGCTCCCGTGTTGAGAGGGGGAAATTCCAGGCTTTCCCGTCTGCCTGTGCTCATATTTTGTACAGTTCCATGGCATCATCCTCAGGTTTGCTACAATATAGACCATGCTTAGAAAGGCATCGATTTTAAATAGTGTAAACATTTGTTCCTTACCTTTGGACTTTATGGCAGTTACCATTCCCTTCCTGGTTTCAGCCCTGTAGAAGAGAAAGATTTCAACTCATCAGCACAAAGTCACACAATTAGAAGAATGCAAGTCAACTTTTTCTAAAAAAACCTGTGAGATGGTTTAAAAAAAAAAATCAGTAACTTCTGTAACCACTTTTTTTTTTTTAATAACTATTTTATCCTGGGTTTCTTCACCTTTATGTCTTCTAAAAGGTGGAGAAATTAACACGCAGCAGGGACAGCGGTCCCCATGTTCAGGCAGCATGAACTGGAGTCAGTCCCCAGTAACGGCGTGGGTTTACACCAGCAGTGAATTAAGGGCACAAAGGATCAGAGCTCCGTCTCTCTTCTGCAGCCTTTCAGATCACGCAAAGAAAGTAAAGGAAAAATCCAAACAAAAATAAAAGCACCCCCCACTGGTGCTGACTGAACTTCCCTAACTCCCCTTCCCGCCAGCGTCGTCCTCCGGCCCCGCCACCGGGTTCCCATAGCATCATCCCGGGCCCTGTGCAAATGTGCAATCTCCCAGCTGCCTTTGATCTACCTTGATGTATGTGCAGTTGCGACTCTGTTCTGTTAAATGACGGCTCTTGTGTCTAGAGCATCACAGGCCCTTTTGAATCTCTCAAACAAGCTGGAATCATTTTGATCTTTTGTGTGTAGCGTGTGTATTGTGTTGGCGCTGTGAAATAATCACACGGGGGCAATGATGGAGGAGAATTAACTGTTATATTAACAATCCTGCAATCAGCTCTAAAAGTAAAGCTTCAGCTGATTTTAATAAGGAGGATCAAATAGGAGATGTTTGTGACATTACTGTGCGAACTAGGAAAGCGCAAGCGCGTGTCAAGCTGCAATTTGAAGCTGTTGTCACAGTCCAAACGGGCCTCAATCGCCTGTCAAAAATCTCACACCATTTGCTGCGCTGCATTTGGAGGTATGGTGGCTAATGCACAACCTACAGCGAGGAGTTAAAAGCAGTCTAACCGCTCCTGTGGAGGCATTTGCCAAGGGGACCCAAAAAGCAGAGACGATTCACTGCTGGGCTTGCACCGCTGCGTCCAGTAAGAATGTGCGATCGCAGCTGGAAAGCCAAGCTTAAAGCAGGGGGGAGTCCCATCACGTTACAGCCACCTACATTACGGAGACTTTTCCTCCGAGACAAGAGGAAGCCCACGCCGTATTCTCGTCCTACGAGCCGTGAATGCCGTCAGCAGACAGCCTCCCTCTCCGCAGACACACACAGGTTCCCCCCCCCAAGGTGGAATATCAAACGTAGCTGAAGTTCAAGCAAGATACCAAACCTAGGAACAAGTAACGATACTAGTAGGGCATTAACAGAGACATAAATACTTATTAATACTTAAGTAAAAGCCTTTAAAACGCTAACCCTTCAAGCGTTTATCTGACCTTCTGTTCGCACGCCATCCAACTGCCCCCCCGTTTCACTCAAACCCTACGCCGCGTTGCACTTCATCTTCTCGTTCCAATACATTTACTCGACAGTGTTTCGGGCAAGTATTTTAAGTCAGAGCCTCCGGGCCGAGTCCTGCAAGACGCTGAACGCCCTTAACTCTTGCGCGCTCTGGTGAGATTTCAGGACCCTCGGCATCTCCCAGGACGTGCTCCCCGTATCCCAGGCTTACCCCGTAAAAATGTGCTCAAGAGGCTGCGGCTCTGGCGGCTGCATCGCTTATTCCCCCAGGCACAGCACAAGAAACCACTTGTTGCTGAGCCACCGAATTGAGAGGCGACTTCTGCGGCAGCCGGCACAAGAACCATTTTATCCTCAAGTAGCTGAGCAAAGCACGATCAGGCAGCTACCGCTTCCACTGCCAGCCGCTCCGGCTCCCCTTGTCGAGGTGGGCGTACGGGCCTTCGTTGCTCAGCCATGCTGGGAGGTCCCGAGGAGGGATTTTTTTTTTTCTCTACTTCCCTCCATGCTTCAAGCCCAGATTGAGGAGGGCCAGTCATTTGGGCCCAGAGCCTCCGCCGTGCTGAGGACTACTACGCACAAGGTGGAGAGTGGGACCACCGGTGGAGGGCTGCCTAGCCACCAGGAGGGCTTGCCCGGCCACCGGGAGGCTCGGTCCTCTTGCACAACTCTGAGCACTGCGAGGTGCTGCAGGTCCAGCTGAAGGCCAGTGGTCTCATGGAGAAGTTGTGGTGGACAAGAGACCACCATGGCTGTAGGAAGGTCTGGAAACCTTCTTTCTTCTGCCCCAGCTCCCCATGAACAGGAAGGTCAACGCTGCCAGGAGGAGGGGGAAGACCGATGTTTGTGTCCTACCAAACCCCATCCATTTGTTGGGGTTCACCCTCCCGGGGCTAACCCACCCCACATACGCACAGAGCCCTAGCGCTGCACCCCGGGAGCCGGGCGCTGGCATGACACCACGGCCCATAAAGAGAGAGATGGGGACAGGGCATCAGCAAAGGCCGGGCGTGAAAGCTGTCGGTACAGAGAGGAACGCCGTGGGAGATAGGGAAAAGGGAGATAGGGCATCCGAAAGGCCAGATGGGAAGTCACAGCTCCGCCAAACCCAGCCTGGAAAACGCTGCAAGATGGCTTTGTAACAGGGAACAAGGTTCCCGAACGACTCTGAAGCGCTGGTCAAGGCTGGTAAGGTGCAAGACGACCACTACGTTGCAAAACCTTCATATTCAGGAATCGGCAAATTCAATCATGGACGTTGTCATCTGGCACACTGAGCACACAATAACCACACAGACCTCCGCCGAGAAATTTCAGGAGTATAAATGGACTAAGGCCGGTTTCACTGCCTCGACTAATCCCCGTCGTGACCCTTCGATATCCATTTACGCGTGTGCTTCTTCCCTAAAATAATTCCAAACTGAACCCGGGCTCTAACAAAGAAAAAACCCAAACCAGTTTAACTTCAAAGGGCCATTTAATCTCTGCTTTACTCTGATGAAATGGGCTTTTTGTGTTGAAGATGCTGCAACAATAAGAAATAAAAAAAAAGCTCCAAGGAAATTTTTTTCCCTCCATAAAGAAAATTAATATTAAGAGGAAAATACCAGACCAAGAAGAGCCAAGTTAATAGAGGTGGCTCACTGAAAAACAACAACAAAGGTTTGCTTTGGCCTGAGCATTTTTGCTAAAGCACCTGTTGGAGCTCTGGGTTTTTGAGTCAAGTGGACAAAGGACACCCAAACATCAAGGGGGGCGGGGGGGGATACCCTATCACCAAAAATAAAGAAAAAAGAAAACAACCCAAATGTCAAGGAAAAAAAAAAAAAGCAACAAACCAACAGAAACCCCCAAGCACCAAGAGAAAAGCCATGGCCGAAATGCCGAGTTTTATCAGGAAAACAAACGAAACGCGGGGCGCAGTGGCGCTCGGCCGATCCCACCGAATCATTTCTCAAAAGCATCTCCGTGCCCCGTGGTCGGAGGGAGCCAGGCTGCTCGGGGGCAGCGCCTCCCCCGTGAGCGTCCGCTCTCCTGCCCGTTCCTGCAGAAGCCCGACGGCTCTAGCATTTCTGCTGACGTTTTACGAGAAATTAGGCATCACAGAAGTATTCTCAGTCCTGGAAAGTCAGTATAGACTAAAAAATAAAAACCCACTCATCACACCAGAAGTGGAGTAGTAATAGTGAATGTAAGTAATTACACTGCAAAGAGGATGGCCGTTATTTTAGGGTGCAAGGATCTGTATCGAGTTACATCTAAGACCCTTCTCTGTTCAGATAGAGCAGGCTGAAGGGAAAAAATAAAATATATTCTTGCCTAGAGAAACCACAAACACAAAGACTGCATCCCCGTGCTGCGATGAAACCCTGTTGGAAGAGCACAGGGCATCACCACAAAAAATCAACTCCATTTCCTCTGTACTACAAAGGCAACGATGTATGTAGCCAGATGTTGTGGCCTCTCCCCCAAACCATTCCTCACCAATATTCATAGAGCGCTGCTGCTACCACATTGCTATTTCTGCAACAGCTGGATGCTAAGATTTAGGAAACAAAGCTCACGAATATCTGTAACATCCAGAAAATGTGCTTGAATTCAGAGTCAGCTGCTTAGCGAAGCGATCTGACAACGGGACGTAGGGCAGGAGCACAAAACTGTGGGATAGGGGCTGGTTTCTGGGTGCGTCTCGGAGGTCTGCAAACGGGGTGCCGCGTTCCCCGGACTCCCTGGTAGGGGCACCTCCCAGCTGCTCCCAGCCCCCAGCCTTTGGAGTCCCTGCGGAACCACAGCAATTCTGGTAGCTCCCCCACCAGCAAAGCAGTGCCAGGACAGGATCCGAAGGGTCCCACCGAGCCGGGTGCACCCCCAGCGGAGGGGCAGCCCGCCTCAGGCCCCGGCAGCCAGCCCCGCTGCTAAGCATCACCCCCGAGAATAATTAAGTGGATGAATTATAATCTGCCAACTTTTATTTGCGTGTCATTACATCTGTGTTTGGTGACGGCAGCTTTCGACTTAAAAAAACCAAAACAAAACACACCTTCAGAGAGCAGACGGGATTACTGCCAGGAGACAGATCAATCACAGTTTAAAACACTTTTCCACCCTGTTTATGTCCTAAAAAATTAAAATTGTCCTTTGGTTCTCAGTCGATAATGCATCTCAGATCTCCAGATTATCTTGAAACAAGACAGCGCAAACCAGCCGCAGGAAAATAAACTGCTTGCATCAAAAGCTGGGAATTACCCAGAAAGCTAGTGACCTCCACTGGCTGCAGCCATCGCTACAGGGCCGCGGGATGCCACACACATCGCCTGCCGCCCGCTCTCGCGGCGAGGTTCAGTCCTGACTTCTGGTCCCTTCTCCCCCAAGTAATTGCACAATTTAGCACGCTCCTTCCCGCTGCAAAACACTCGCTCCGCACAACGAAAGCTGCGTCTCTGTATGTACAAATATTCCCTCGGCAAAGCCAAGGAAGCCAGGGAAAAGTAGTTTTATAGCTGGGCGCAGAGCGGGCCGGGGCTCGCGGGAGAAGAGGAAGCTCTGGCATGCACCTCCGAACAAAAGGGAACAAGTGGTCTTTACTCGGAGCGCAGCTTCCTATTAAGACTCACTCCTTCGTACATCATGCCTTTCATCCCCACTCAACCACAAAATGATTTTGCTGTAGGAAATACAATGGCAGAAAAAGATTTACATTGAAAGAATCTTTAATAATAAACTGTTGCAGATCTGCCTACTTCCCCGTGATTTATAATACAATAAACATCGGATTCTATTAAGTCTCATGCACTGAAGACACGCACTGAAAACCCCAATATGAAAGCCCTCAATTCTTCCCGTCTCCAGCACCATAATAGTGAAATGAGCATGTGTAAATGCGCTAAGAGTATCTCTTTGCATCTTTTATAGCTTGTGTGTATTAATCTGTAAAGCTTATTAAGAAAGTCATTGCTATGCAAAGCAGCACCCAATCTCTTTCTCTCGCTTTTCAAGAGAGCGCAGTGTTGAGCCAATAGGACCGGTCCCCGGCCCCTCATTCGGCATTCATGACATGCAACGTTTGCACAATGTATCTCTCAAAGGCTGCTGAATAGAAAGCCTTAATACTCATGTAAACAACTGCAAACCAATTACTTAATGAATCAGGCCCACACATAATGAGGTGCCAGACAAAGAGCTATAAATGCATTTTTGCGCCCGAGCCTCCGCTTTAAAGTAAAATCCCTCAGCTGTAGTTTGGGCTTAACTGGCACATCGTAATTATTGTCTGGAGGACATCAGAGGAAGCCATTTTTTTTTATTTCGGTCCAGCGGGGTCTTCCGCGAGGTCACTCATCAGCTCAGTGACAAAACGCGGCGCAGAAGAATTTATAAAAAGTACCCCAGCCGCGCTACGCAGTTGCGTTTATTCTCAAGGAGTGGGTTTCGAGACCACTTGTAAAAGCAATAAAGCCCCAGAAGTGACTGCCACAAGCGGAGCGCTTCGACGCCGGCAGCGAGGAAGCTGCCCCGCGCCCTGGCCGCAGGCAAGCGCCCGGCCGCCCCGGCCCATTTCTCCAGCTTTTTGGCTACTTTTGCCCCTCTCCGTCACCACGGGGCGGATCAAAGCGTCCAAAAGTACGGGCTGTTAACCCGCGTCATGGGCAGAAGGCTGCGGGGTTTTCGGCTCCCTTAGGAAAACAAACTTTAAGCCATCGTAAGAGATTTTTTTTTTTTTTTTTAAAGCAGCATCACCGGGTATCAGCGCGTGAAGCGCGCTTGCTTCCCAGCACCGAGAGGCGTTGTAGGGCAGAACCAACTGGGGTAAAACCGATCGCAAACAAGAATTTGCAAGAAACAGCAAAAAACCCCAGGCACACCCTGTGAGCAGCATCTGGAAAGGCAGGAGCTGCCGAAGGCGTTATCAGCAAGCGGCGCAACGCCCACGGGGAGAGAGGCTCGGAGGCTTTTTTTTTTTAAATAAAAAAAATGGTTTGTTTTACACGATAGGCGTTTTGTTTGGATGCTCAGCAGCGATGCTGTCAGCAAGGTCTGCAGGGCCCGATCCTTCTCTTCCTGCTGGCTTCAGTGAAGGATGAAAATCTCACATTTAAAGATTCCATCTACAGGAGCAGCCTCACGTTTCGTACCGTTAGGCCTTACGATTTGGAACATCACTCCCGGACGAAGCATCAGAAAATTTAAAAAGAAAAAAAAAGAAAAAAATAAAGGAGTTTGAACAAGACTGCAAGAATTAATCCCAAACAAAAGCAGGCCTGGCATTCACCAACACAGTATTCCAGCCTGTATTTACCGTCCTTGAGGAATGACAGGAACGCTCCGATTTTAACACAAAATGCACAACACCAGAACTGGAACCGGCCTCACCCATAACTGCCTCGAATACCTACGCAAAGATGGTGATGCCGAATAAATAGGAGGAGTTAAAAATTTATCCAAATGCTTTAAGTCTCTCCCCAAGTGCTCCTGAGGGCAGCGCTGAGACACGGAGCTGCGCGGCAGCAGCACCCACTTGCCAGGCTGTTCCCACGAGGGCTGATAAGGATCTAAAGCCCGGCCGATACCGATGAGGTGGCTGCGTTAGATCCTATTTTCTGCTGCTTCTTGACCACTAATTTGATTGCTGCCACGTGATCACCATTACACGCCAACGAAGGACACAAGGAACGTCCAACCGAACGGCTTGGGGACCCAAAGGGAGCTGCTGCCCTTTAAAAAAGAAGCCACAAACCAACTTTTTTTTTTTTTTAAGAAAAAAAGAACAAACTGTGCCCTTTCGGTATGGTTAAGGCCATGAATTAAACACACCCGGTTTGAAAGCAAGGTTTAAACACCCCAGTATCAAACATTAAACCCCCCCCCAAACCCCGAGCGCGTGAACCGCGTTATCCAGTTACAGCGCGTTTCCACCTCGGATGCCCGGCGGAGAAAGCCGCCACTTTATCTCGTGAAGACTTCGTGCTTTATGCCTGCCCCTCTCCTGACAACTGCCATTGTCTGGCCCCCGCGCAGCCCTACTGAGAGCAGCTGTACGCGCCGATTTGTGGTTCACCGAGATGTCAACTGAGTCCCACAATGCGAGAACAGCAGCTGCAAACAATACTTGGCTTTGGCACAAATATTTTCCAAGGTGCGCCAAAGTTTAAGATGTTTTATGGGATAAATACAAACAGGAGCCTTAACCCCAGACCGCGTGAACACATCAAATCATCGCAGCTTTAGGCGTGTGCTGCCGGCGTTTCTCATCTACAGAAGCGTTTCAGGCGCTGAGGGATTTAACAGCGTTACCTCGGGCAGGCAGGACTCCTTTCACTCGACGAAGAACTAGTTCCCGAATGCGTTTCTTGGCTCGCTTTTGCCGCGGAACTTTTATTGCCGCTATCCCAGCCTGGAAGGCAAAAAACACACAGCGTGAGTTTCCAAATAGCGAGGGCAGGACCTCGCAGCAGCGCGCGGTCCCTCGCCGCACCACGCGCCCGTTTTCAAGCAGGCGCAGGCAGGGATCAATTACGGCACCCGACGATGATTTCTTGTGAACAGGGACATTTTTGCACTTCCTACCTCGCTTTAGAAAAGAGAGAATCTCGGCGTTTGCGCCAAGGGCTGTTTGCATCACAGCAACTTAAAGCAAAGCTCAAAGGATTTCTTGGGTCCTTTTACTCTTTTTGTTTTTTTAATTCCCGAGTTCTCATTTATTTTAGTTCATCAGGAAGCACAATTATTTTTAGTCTGCTTCCCCTTAAAAGTAGATGGTTTTGAGTAGCTACAGTTCCCTTCATGTTATTTGCTACAGCCGTATTTTCAACCGCTCTCCCGAAATAGAGCTGCGGCCAGGGGGCACAACTTTGGGGATTTTTATGACTTAGATTTCAGAATCTTTCATCCATGCTTTCTTCCTTTCCTTTCTCCCCCCCTCTGTGTAGCTCATTACCATTCCGTAGAGATTGATTTAAAATAAAATAAAAAAAAAGAAGAGGTAAAGGATTCAATTCACTGGAGTTGTACAATTGCTCATCTTTGCACTCATTTCCAAGGAACACGATGCTCAGGTACAAATCCCTCTTTGCACGCATGTGTATTTATATATAGTACTGAAATTATAACCCAGCCCTAACCGCTACCAACTTCATTCCAACCCAGGACAGTTTGGTGGTTCTGTACACCTGGGCCACCCCTACTTTTAACTGGCCGTGCCCGTTACCAGCCCGCTCCCGCGGATCACACCCCTCCGCTCGGGATTTCAGCAGCAGAAGCCCTGCCCCATCTCGGGCACTTCCAACAAAGAGGTGCAGGGCGCCTGGCCGGCACTGGGGGCTGTGCACAACAAACCTGACCGCCTCCCAGAGAACGCATGAAGGGAAAAAGGAAAAAAAAAATTCAGAATGGGGGGAAAAAAAAAAGAAAAGAAGGAAAAAAAAAAAGGGGGGATCCCTCTCCCTTTCCTGTGATGTGCACGTGCAGAGGAGCAGAGGCCTGTGGAGACGACGGCGGGTGCCCTGGATGCAAGGCTGACAGCGGCTGGGAGCTACAGACCGAGTGACGTGGGCATGCGCTAAGCGCCCACCACAAAGGGCCTTGCTTGTACCTTACTTTGGGAATTAAAAAAAGACAGGGAATTTAACGTAATTGAGTCCTAACGGCCAGGAACTGCTTTTCACTCCAGCAGTGAAGCGCGGAACACCGGTGTACATCGCGGTGTAACCCCGGCCGGCAACTCGGCCCCACGCAGCCCCTCGCCCACTCCCCCCGGGGCAGGACGGGGGAGAGAATAGTGAGAAAGCTCCTGGGTTGAGGTAATGACAGTTTAGTAGTCAAAATGAAATAAAATAAAAATAATAAAAGAAGATACAAAGCAAGTGAGGCATGATGCAATTGCTCACCACCTGCTAACCGATGCCCGGCCCCCCGGCGAGCTCTCCCCCAGTTTCTATACTGGGCATGAGGCCATACGGTCTGGAATAGCCCTTTGGGCAGCGGGGGTCGGCTGTGCTGGCCGTGCCCCCTCCCGGCTCCTTGCGCACCCCCAGCCCTCTCAGCCAGTAGAGCACAAGAAGCCAAAGAGTCCTTGATTTAGTGCAAGCGCTACTTCCAACAACTGAACCATCAGGGTGTTATCAACACCACGCTCATCCTAAAGCCAAAGCACAGCGCTGTGCCAGCTGCCAGGGGACCATTAACCAGGATAGTGTATTTTTTCAGGGCTCCCCACACACGGATCCGAACTACAAAACACAACGCGGCCAAGGTCACGCGCTCCCATCTTGCCTGGGGAGAGAGCAGGCGTTGCGTCAGGAGGGCGCCCCTCCGCCCCGAGAAAGCCTTGCACAGAGCGAGTTGTGCCCGGCTGACAGACCGCCACGGGCCGGGGACTCTGCAAACATTCAAAATCCAGTTACGTGTGCCCTCAGAGGTGGCTCTGGCATGTCCATGGCTTGCTCCTCACGTGAAGGAGAATGTGAAGCCAACGGCCTCCGTGCACACCGCCGGCTCTTCCCTTGCAGCCCTGCACGTGCAGAGGGACGCATCCAGCTCGTTACAGCCTGTTAATGGACTGAATGCTTTTCCTCCTTCCCTACCAGAGCAAGCAGAGAGCTTCAGGTGGAAGCTTCAGAGGGTGTCAGCATGCCGGACATGCAGCTGCATCTGACCCACACCTCTCAAAGTCTTCCATTTGTTTTGGGCTGGGACCCCCCCAGGCAGGGCCCGGTACCAAGCCTGCTGCTGAGGGGTCCCCTGCAGCAGGAACGGATCTGCAGACTCAGGGAGGCACTTCTACCTCTGCACAAGCAGCGTTCTCTGTTGCTGTTGAATGCTCTTCCCGTCCCCCAGGGCAGCGACAGGGAGCCTGCTTTTTCCCAGCCATACCCAGCACACCTTTCCCATTGGCACTTCGAAGTCCAGGTCCTCGCCAGCTCTACCGAAGCTCGAGCTGGGCCACCGTTGCTGTGCAGCTCTCCGTGGGGCTCCTGCAGGCATTCCAGCCTCAAAAGGCCATTCCCCTGCGCTTTCCGCGCCTGCGCTGGCTCCCCTTCCTTCACATCACACAGCAACACAAACGACTTGTTCTTCACCTTTAAGGCCCTTCGGAGCCCAGCTTTGCCCTACCTGGCAGTTACAGTACAACGCAGGGCTATCAGTCCCCACTTCTGCCTTAGTCACACCAGACTGCCTTGCCAGTTAGTCCCGTGGCTCCCCTCGAGCATCTTTGTGCTGACTTACATCCCACAGAAATGGAAGATCCTCCTAGGAACCGCCGTGCGATTCATCCAGGTTGCGGCACCCACGAAGCCTCTGGCAAGGCGTAAGCAGCGTGCGGCTTCGAGCGCCGAGCAATCGCCTGGCTCTTCCCTCCTCTTACCCCGCTCATCCGCTTCGTCCCCATGCCTTCAACAACGCGCCCGCACTGTAAGTTGGCGGAGAGGAAGAGCCTTGGTCACAGGCGTGTGGCACTGACAACAAAACCAGCCCAACCTGGGCGCACGGCAGCACTTGCTTCACGACCGGGAGAAAGCACGAGCGACTGGCGCAAGGTGCAGGGCAGAGAAGGTACAAGAAATACGCTGCTAGGGGAGAAAACCCGGGAGCACTTCGCTCCCGACAGAACTGCGCCACGCCATAAAACCCTTACACAGGTCAGTCAGTCACTGTGCTTAAGGGTAAATGCAACTCAGTTCAAAAAGACACTTTTATTCTGGGGTCCGTGCGCGTCTCTGTCACTTGTTTTGCCAGAAGCCCCTACCTTGCTATGCCGTAACACCCAGCGCGCCCTCCCCGTCGCAGGCGGGGGACAGCGAGAGGCACGCTGTGCTGGCACACAAACACACGCTTTTCCCTGAGCACGCAGCAGAACACGACAGCCCGGGCAAGAAAGGTGCACTGAGTGGGGAACTGGCAAAGCAAAAAGGATGGGTTTAGAGCACAATAGCAGCACGCCGACTGAAACCCTTGGATAAAGGAATTGCCAGCACCATAGAAATCATCCGGCGGGGAGCAGCAGCTCCGGGGAGCAGAAGCGGAGGCGAGAGGAGGGCTGCGACAGCTGGAGAGCAGCAGCTCCTGACGGCCATCTCATAACGCCCGCCGGGCCGAACGCAGGCTTGCCAAAAAGCACCTCTCCTTCCCAGCCGGATTCGGTAAATTCGTGCTACACCGGGTAAGAGACCGATGCCATCTGCTTGCTGTTCCCTTCCTAGGTGGTTTCTGGAAGGAGCGGCCTCAGCACACCACCAGCCCTCCTGCTCCGGGGACACCCGGCACGCAGGGGCGACGCTGCCCGGACGGGGTGCTCCGAGCGTTTCCGCAGCCGGAACGGCCAGCCTGTGCCGCGCAGACGCAACTGAACGAGCTCGATGAAATTCAGTCCTTCAACTCAAACGGGGACGGTAATAATGGGAAGTTCTTAACCCAACCGTTGGAGCAACCCCGCGCCAGAGCAGGAGCTGGGGCATCCTCCTCGCACCTTTATTCCTGTGCGCTGCTCCTTCCACCCGGCACCAGCAAAGGCTCTGCGATACCGCTATTCATTAAAAACACTCCATGCTTTCCAACTTTGAATTAACTGTGCCGTCGGCGTGGGTCAAAGCAGCTTTCTTGTCGGCTTTTGTGATTTCGTTCTGACCAAAATGGGTTCATTAGCCAACAATTCCAGGGGAAAACCCACTGTCTTTGCGTAATGACCCACGGGTGTTTTGTTCTGCCAAACAGTCGCAGGGATCTTCAGCCCAGAACACACCGTACCAGCACAGAACCGAGAAGGTGTTTTCTCCGTGCGTTCCCCCTACGGCCTAGGTTGCAGCATCTATCAGCTTGCAGCCAAACACCTCGGCAGCTAAAAAAGCGATGTGATTTTCTGCAAATGAAGAGATGTGCTTGACTCTGCCTGTCTGGAAACAGGAAAGGTAGCTCCCGGGGCTGCTGGTTTGTAAAACGCAGGCTGGGAAAACAGAGACACCGCTGTGCTGACACGGAGCCCGCGCAGCCGGTGAGCACAACTGCAGCCTTCGACTTCAGCAACGAAGCACGTAAGCGAGCTGTAGGAGTACAGTAGGCGCTGCGTGACTGGGAGAGGAGCGAGAGCGCTTTGTACGCCGCTCCAGAGCAATAAAGAGCAATCATCCGTTAATTCCAATAGCAATCAATAATCCCATATGCAAATGGAGGTAGTCAGAGGGCAAAAGACCCCAGACTCAACGCAGACACGGATCTGCATCTTCCTCCCGTACACAAGTGAGAGCCTACAGCGAAAGGAACTTGGCTTTTTCCGTGTACTTCTATCACCAATAGAAGAGTTGGGCATTTCAGCTGTCACCAGACTTCAAAGTCGCTAATGCCTTGAAAGGAACGTTATCGGGATCAGCCGAGCCTGCAAGCTGTGCAGTTTCGCAGTTACCTTGGCAATAGTTATTGCACCCGCATTCAGGAGTCCTGGCAGGTCTGGGCTGCCATCCTGCTAGGTCCTGTACCGAAAGAGAAAACAATAGTTCCTGCCTGGAGGAACTTCAAATCTGAACAAGCTCCTCCACCACATTAACGCTAATTACTGAGCTTGCTGATAACCTACAGAGAGCTACGCGGGATGGAAGGAGCCACCGCCAGCACAGGAACGGCCGCTGCGCACGCCTCCACCTCGGGAGCAGAGGGGTGAGTGCCGGCTCTATAGGGGCTCTGGTACGCACCCATTTCCCTCGCGATAAAGCAAAGAGACTTGCACACACAGAGAAGATAAAGGCTACCTGCACATCTGACACAAGGATGTGCTCTTTGGAGAGCAAATAGATGGGAAACATCTCCCAATTAAAACCTGAGCAGAGCACTGCAGTCGCCAGTACCCAGATGTAGGTCAAACATCAACAAGTGTCTCCCACCTTTCCTTTAAATTAAAAAAAAATAAATAAATGCTCTTATCGTACTAATATACCAACATACGATGCTGTCCTCTCAAGAGCAGACGCTTGGATGACCAGTGGACTCAGGAAATCCCAGTAGAGCAAGCTGCCCAGTGAGATACTTCCAGAAGCTGCCTCTGTTTAGAGATCGAAGAAGAATTTTCACCCAGAATTCATAACTACAAAAAGACTGAGGTCCTTCAGGACCTCAAGTCGAGCAGCGTAAAATACCACCTTCTGGAGTACATAACATATGCTAACTTAAGCAAAAGGAGCAACCTGACGCTGTCCCAAGGTAGCTCGGTCAGGCCAAGAGCAGCAGCAGCCATCCATCACGTACAGATGAACTTTCGTCGTAACAGCGGTTGCGAATGGGTTGGTATCAAATGAAGCGAAAAGTTGGGTAGACTTATTAATGCCTTTATTAGCGCACTCCAAGTGGAACCTCGGGAACCTTTTAACTTCAAGCTCAAAGGGGGACCTCACCGGGAAGGACGCGTGGGCGTGGGAAAAGTGTTGGCAGGATTATTGGCTCATTAAAGGTGACCTAAAAGGGAAAGCAGAATCGGATCTGTGCTCTTTCATGTTCCCTTAGGATATATAAAGAAGGGCTAATTTTTTTCTTCTTCTTCTTCTTAAGAGGGTTTTTCCTTCTTATTTCTACATTAGAGATTTTATACCTGGAGAGTACCTGGAAGGTGGCATTCAAGATGTTGGGAAAGCGGGGCCTGATGAGTGGAGAAGTAACGCCATTTCTATTCAAAAGCTTTACAGCTTTAACAGCTATTTAAATCAAAGACATAAACGAAGGGTAGGGAGAGAATCTGGTTTTGTTAAGATTTAACAAACCTGCCCCTTCAATAAAATCAGCAGTTTCTGACTCGTAAATGAGACTCTTAAACAGCCACCCAGCAAAACAAAAAATAATGTATTTTATCCTTTCCTTTTAATCTCGCATTATTCGCCTACCTCAGGAACAGCAAAAGCTGAATGGTTTCTTTAACGTGCCTTCGCGAGATGGAACACAAAGCGTCCATGAAGAAAATGAGAACGAGTCCACGCGTCCTCCTATATCCTCACGTAACCTGGTATAGGGGAGAGCGCTATTAACAGCTGACTCCTCCCTGGGCGAGACCATACACAAATCGTAAGCCTTTTGGAGCCACAAGCCTAGGACAAGGCCATGGGGAAGGAACCATCTTCACGGCAGGAGCTACCTTGCCCCTGCGCCCCTGGGTGACTAGGGGTTTGAAAAGCTCAGGTACCCTGCCACGGAGGGGCACAGCTCAGCAGACATTTCAGCCCAAGTTGGTGTTTGGAAGAGCACCAGGGGACACCGGTCCTTGCTCAAGCAGCTTTGGGTACCAACCCAGGTGGCCTCTAAGAGACACCCAACCCCATGCCAGCCATGACCCTAAAGCCCTTCTCCCCAGAGCCACATCTCCTTCCTCCCCCACAGGCATTTAAGAAAAAACCCAAATATTTCTGGATTTTTTTACAGAATATTAAAATAAATAGTTTTCTGCTTCCCTCCTCCCCCCTCCATAACAGAAGAAAAACCAACCAAAAGTACAGAGGCATTCGTAAAGTGCCATCACAGAAGACTGCTTGGCAGCACGTCCACCCAGCTTGCACAATGAGGTCCATCAAAACCCAAAAGCCCCAAGGGCTTCTGGTATTTCAAACCAACACTTAAGGCCCTTGAGGAATGCAGGAAGTACTGAAAAAAACCCAAAATTAGTATCCCTGAAAAGCTTAAAAAAAGTTGTACAGCAAAACAATCGTGTATAGGATGGACATTAAACATCGGTTCATCTAAAACCACAAAGCCTAACCCTCAACCAAGTCACTTGAGCCCAAAAGACAACGCACAGAGATGCTGCCTCTGTTTGAGGCACCATTTCAGAGCTCCAGGGCCACAGCCCACAGCAAGTAATGATGAGCAAATCAGAAAAAAGCGACAGGCTGGAAGGGCGAGGAGCCAGAAGAGAACAAGAGGCCCGGAGAAGATCATGGGCCGAAGATGAATCGCATCTGAAAGGAGCAACTTTGCTTTCAAGTGAGATGTGAAAAGCCTCGCCCCTAGAGACAACACGATGGCCAGCTCCTGGAAATGTGCTGCAACAAAACTGTAAACAAAGAACGGATTTTAAACCAAAGTTACTGGTTTCAGAGTTCAGGTTAGGGAGTTTCTCAGCATTTTTATACAAATAGGAAGAATTGGTATTTGCATGGCCATTCAGTACGGAAGCCACGGGAGAAGTAGGGAGGGGGGATGCCCATCGTGGCTTGGCTTCTGACTAACGGACGTCTAACACGTCAGGGTCCCCAGCAGGGAATTCCCCGATGAATTTGTATGCAAAACCACAGCTAAAAGCAGTACGGCTAAGTCATAAAATCAGGGTGGGGAGAAGCAAACCAAAAGCATTGGTGGCTATGGAGATCCAAACTCGAGAGCCAGTCTCCTTAAAAAAAAAAAAATATATATGTGTTATCAGCGATGGCATCGAGTGGGAGGGAGTCGCCACTCCTGACATCGGCCATGCTGGCGCTCTCTGCAGTTCAGGGAACTCAAACCTCAATCCTCAAATTTGAATCCTCTTAAACTACACATGAAATCGAACTAACCCTGAGACTTGCAAAATTTTAGATGAATTTCCAAATGAGAAGTATGTTCGGTTTCCTGCAAGAGATGTAAGTGGCTTTCAATTCCTCTGAAAATCAATGCAATTCACATGTTAAATGTGTTGCCGTGTGTGACTGAAGGACATTTTAAGCAGCAGGAGAATGGAAAGCAGTCTACTCTCTAGAAGAAAAAAATAAAATCTAAGTTTTGTTGGGCTAACATAGGAACGCCCTTGCTGTGGTATAATTCAGGGATACAAGAGGCACATTTTTATATTTCAGCTGCAAATTAGGCTCAAACAGCAGCAGAGGAAAACCTCTGTAGAGAAATGAATTGCTCTGCGAAAGACAGGCTATTCTGAAGCCATAAAAGAGCAGAAAAGCAACAGCCAGTGTTGCATAAGCAGATGCCCTCGCACCTTTCGGTCGGAGCACACACCTGCATGAATAAATATTTAGCCAAACATCAAGATTTATAGAGAAGTAGCCCACCACTTTACAGACCCAGGCAAAAGCAAATTGGGACTCATTGCAGAGAGCCCTCCCCTGAATACTAACGCCTCCTCGGTACCCCCGGACCGAGAAGCAGCGGCATCTCGGGGTCCCGAGCGAGCCTCATTCCTCCGCTGCGGGAGGATCTGAGCACGCCTTGATAAAGCCTCAGTGCTAAAAATTTTGTGTTATCAGGCAGCTTTTGTAACGGAGGCAGAGTCACGGCTCCCCGGCCAGCAGGGCTTTTCCCCACGCTTATTCTAATGATACACATTCAATTACTAGGGAAAAGAAAAGAATCAAATCGGAAACATCTGTAGTTTGCCATATAATTACTGGATCTTCCCCACGGAGACTGACCTTTGTAACACCGATACCGGGACCTGAAAGGCTAAATGACGGGATATTCGCATGGTTTAAATGTCTAACATGATTACAAGGAATTAAATAGGCGCTGTTATTTTCCATCTTGGTTTACGTTAACGTAAGCGTGGACTTTATGCTCTGACGTTTAATCTTTGCGCTCAGTATGTAGTAGCTGAATTTACTCACTATTAGTGGACCCAAACCACTGAAACGCTGCGTTTTGATTATATAATAAAGTTGAATACTGGATTCGAGGTTAATATGCAGCCATTGCTTTTACCTGTAATAGGAATCTTTTCGACCGCGCTTTCTTCCTTGCTCTCATCTTCACACCAGCTTGCGACTCCTGGATGTGAGCACGCTATAATGAAACACATTTCAAAGTCGCAGTGATCAGACTGGTTTGTTTGCTTTTAAGCCCTACTCCCTTTAATTTCGCACTTTTGTTATCTCTTGTTTATTGATCTAAACTATCCATTACCGTTCTTAAAAGAGGCGCCTACTGTGAACTTTCCTCGCATGCGAGGCTACCCTGCCTCTCTGTAGCTCCCAGAGAAAAGGACAAGCTAACCAAATGTCTTAAATTATTTAAGACCCAATGGGATTTAGGAAACAAACAACCCACAGTAACTCTGCAATCTCGTCCGGCAGCCCGACAGCAGCAGCGTATATCATACCAACTGCGGAAAATTAGTTTAAATCAAAGTCTCCGTCTCCTCCACGGATAAAAGTCGCGTGAATTTAGGAGGCCCAAAGCAGTTTGTTTACATTTGCTGTGTAAAGAGCATGGCAGCCTAATTGCCTGTCTCTTCCCGACTTTGATGTAAGGGATGCTCCGAGAGCAGAGCCAGCAAGCTGCCGGCGCCGGTTATTACGCCGGGCTAATATATTCCTTCCTTATCTAAAGAAATTAACCGGGTTTGCACAAACACGCTCACCTTCTGAGCTCGGAAACAGCACCGCACACCTTTCTCAGCATGAGCCCTTTTATTCTTGAAAATATATTCTGCGGCCTGGCTTAATAACAGAAGGCAACAAATACATCCCACGATTTCCAAACGGTGGGCACTTTTTAAACACACGCACACCTACAGGTCCGTCTTTAGTAACGGCCACGAGGCTTGCTTTCCTACCCCTGCAGAAAGGCGCAGTCACAACAGGCACCGCTCATTTCAAGAAGTAACAAGAATGACGAACGACACAGAGATATTTAGCAAAACCCCCAAGTTCATTACAAATAAACACAAGTTCACCCGTCGCTGCGATACGGTCCCCTGCAGATTTGGCTAGGGAGCACCTATCTGTAGGGAAGGACAGTAACTCCGAGCGCCCAGCCGGACCTCTTAGCACTTGTTACCTTGTTCTCCCACGCCGGCGAGCCGGGGAGCGTGTCTCGCCTGCTTTATTTCCCCGCCGTCGCTTGGGATCGATGGCAGGCTGTAAGATGATTCATTACTCTGAATAGATGACCTATCCCCACACTCTTCTGGAAGGACCTCTCTCAACACCGGGGGAGCCTGCAGCGTTAAAAAAATAAAAATAGCCACAGCCCTATTATCCTTCATCTCGAGAGTTTTCCAACATACATTTAGGCTAATCTGTACTTCACGGTGTAATCTGTTTCCAGGGTGGTTTTGTTAGATGTTAAATTACCTCCGAGTTAAACCAGCGCTGGCTCAGGAATCGCATTCTGCTTTCAAGTAACACAAACTTGGAATTATTTTTTTAATTGCCAGGTTTTCTGGCAATTCTCAGCGCTCCCTGCCTGGTGCGCTCAGGGCAAGCGGAGCAGAAGCGCGTATCGTCAGACAGGCTGCGGCAGCGGCAGGCTGAAGAGAAACCTCTCCGTTTCAGGCAGGAGCAACGAGGCAGGTTAGCCCCCAGCGTTAGCAAGAGCTGCGGCATGAAACACCACCACGGCCGACGAACACGAAGGCAGCCCCAGCCGGGCGCCGTTCCAATTTTAATCCGCGTTGCTCCTGCACATTAGTGAAGTTCGTTCTCCCCTGCCTGTGCACGCAGCCCTCTGCAGCAGCACTACGCAGACCTCCGCAGTTAAATGTATTTTTGATACAAAAAATTAAAGTCAGAAGCCAGTACCTTTACCAGGAGCCAAACGTACCATAAATACAGCTGAGTCTTAAAATAAAGCAAGCACTTCTACGGTTATCATCGCCCTGTGTTACTGCGTGTGGCTTTAGAAAGCTCCTTCAAGAGCAGGAGAAATCCCTTCCCGGTGTCCATTATTTCACAGAGCAAAGGCTTTTTGGGCATCCTCCCCATCTCTTCTTTACCTGTAGGGTGTCCCTCTTGGCTTTGTTTTGTAACACAAAATACAGACTTGAGTCTTTAAAATCTGCTACATTTTCTGCTCCCACTATCCAGTTGTTTAATAAACCAACGGTTTTGTAACGTGCAAGCCTTCAGCGATGAGGACCAACACCTCTGAGAGAAAGCCAGGGTTTGTAACTTATTTTCTGTGTCCTGACCCGAGAGCGTGGAACAGCTTCAAGCCAAAACATTTTGGACTCATGAAAAGAATGTTCCTCTCCTGTATCTGCCCCCTCCTCGTTAACCCACATTTATTCAGGAGCCCAGAAGCGCAACTTTTCAGTCTTACGCAAGCAGCTTGTCGAATTTATTTTTTTTTTTTCTTTCTTTCTTTTAAACTACATACAGGAAGGCTCAGTACAAAACCGATGAGAGCAAGCTGCTACTTCATCCAAAAAACAGGGATTTTAAGTCTCATTTCGTAACGTAAAGAATGCCTCAACTCACAGGCAGGATTGGGAAAACTTTTCCCAAGCAGCAGTTTATCTCAGCGTGGATTTCTCACACCACAAGTACTTTGTTTACCCGTTAGCACGGTTTAACATCATTTAACATCCAAATGGGCACAAACCACCACCACCAAATACAAGCCATCAGCGTAGGCTCAGACACCAGAATTAACCCAGGTAGAAGGAAGGCTCCCACCAGCAGAACCAAAGCTCTGCGTTCAGCGTCACAGGGACCAAGGCGCCTGCGGGGGAACCGACATCTCCATGGGGGCGTGAAGATATCTAACATGCTGCATGAGCCACGCGGGTCTTATTCGTACAGGAGCGTAGCTTGGCTGAAAAGGGTGCTGGATTCCACAGCTTCCACAGCCCAGAGACCATCCCGCGGCCCAGGAAGGGTGCTGCTGCCACGCCAGCTCCCTACGGCTGCCCCATGTCCATAGGAACAACACCCAGTTTTCCTAACAGGGAGGATAGGAGAAATCCATGAGAGAAGAGGAAAAACTGATAGCAAGACGTAAGAGGACAGAAGACAGACATAATTTAGTGATAAGAGATGAGAAGACAGACTGGTGGACAGATTGGAATAGTCCACTCTGTGGACCACTGGAATGGGCGAGCTGCTGGAGGAGAGGGTGGACCTGCTGCTGGCCACCACCAAACTTCTGTGGACCACAAGTGCTGATGGGGATGGAGCTGGCAGACTTGGCAGGTACGGTCAGGAGCTCAAAGCTCCCTCCTGCACATCCACCCTACCGCCTGCTGTACGGTACCATCATCCTGTGGGGTTCTTGACAGATCGTTAAGCTCTCAGAGAAAGAAGTCATCAACACGGGCCAAAAATTCAAACTTTGGAGTTGTAAGTATTTAAGATCCTTAGGTCCAGACCGCTTACAAGTTCACTACTACATTATATAAATCATTATGGTAAAGCAGCTGTTCTGTACATGCACATTGTGTAGAATCACAGAATCACTGAGGTTGGCAAAGCCCTTTAAGCTCATCAAGCCCAACCGTTCCCCTACCCCTGCCATCCCACCACTAAACCCTGTCCCTGAGCACCTCATCTGCCCAGCTGTTAAATCCCCCCAGGGATGGTGTAATTTATATTGATCCTGTTCTGTGCAGCCTGCTTGGAAATAAAGTGTTTCGAAGCAGGGGATGCGTCCTGGCATTACATTTAATCCACTGGACCCACCTAAGTGCTAAATGCACATGTGGGCCACAGTAACACATGGCAACAGACAGATGATTACTGCCTGCATTCACCCATCAAGTTTGTGTTACTGAGCTGTGACTTTGTAAAAGTTTTTACATGCAATTATAGATTTATGTACGGTATTTGTTTATCTGTCACCAGCACAATGATACATTCCTTGCGCATCTCTTCTGCTCGCCTGCATGTTTTAAGGACAGAATACAAATTACTTGTCCACAGACAGAAGTAGTTCCCCTGGCTATTACTGAAAGTGCACAGCTGACCAAAATATTACATCTTCATTATTTGTTTCCAATAGAAACTAGAATATATAATTTGAAACTAGAATATAGCAAAGCAGTTCAAACTACTTTTTAATCTCTCATTAAAAATCAGAGGGAAGATATTTTTTGCAAGTATTTTTTGGAGCAGAGTACGGGGCCAACTCGCTCCCAGCGGCCCTCCCAGTTCCCATTGCCGGGGCGGTGCAGAAGCAGCCAGGACATTGCCCTGCTGCCAGAGCCCCAGCTCCCCTGGCATGGCTGCCGCCGGGGGGGGGGGGGGGCCCTGCCCTCCCCGCACCGCTGGCTGCTCCGGCTTTGCAGCAGAAGAGGTTGGGGCACACACGGGTCTACCAAATGCCAACTTTTTTTTTTTTTTTTGAAAGAGTTTATAACCTTTGGCATTAACATTTAAAAAACCGAGCATGCTACTATTTGTAAAATGCTCTGCATATTCAGTGTACGAAACATAACTCTGTTTTAAAAAAAAAGTAATACATCATTCATGATAAAAAGCTACTAAGCCACAGAGAAAGACAGATGATATAAGCCTTGTGATAAATTCGCACCAGAGCAAACGTGTGAGCTTGTTTAAATAAATAACTGGTTTGAGGGTGGAAAACAGACACCCTCCTGGAGACCTCACAGAGAATGTTTTCTTGGCGGGGTGAAGCGCATTCTCCCCTTACCCACGTCCTGACCGTCTCCAGGGCTGGTCAATGAACGCAGACTGCTTGTCACTCCCCTTAAAGCCCGCACGCCAGACTGCGTGAGCAGCACAGGGCCCGTCTCGCCTTAATGGTGCCCGTTGGTCTCTAGGTGTGATTGATTTAGGTATTGTTAGATGCAAGGACCAACCTGGCCATCCTGCGCCCTCTTGCTGGAAACCAGCAGGCTTTCAAACATCTCTGCCACCTCTTCTGTGAGCCGAACCTGGTGCTTTTGCAAGAACAAGGCATGGTTGCTGAAGCAAGTCTGCAGCTCACCCACGTCCGGCTGCTGGGCTGGCCTGAGAAACAAACCCAAGCACCACCGTTAGCGGGACACCCCACGTACACGAGACCCACGCAGGTGCCACGCTACCCATTTATCTGGATAAGCGGGCCAACATGCCACAGAAAAGCCGTCACACACCATGTCCTTAATTCCCACTTTTTCTTTTAAAAATGTCCAAAGCGGAAAAATGTAAAGAGTCACTCGTAACCTCTGCAGACATGGGGAGGAGGGGCAGGGGCAGTCAGCATCACGTCTGTCCCCTGGGTCCGTCCTGAGGCTCGGGATCAGGAGACACTGAACCTTCCCTGCAGCCCCACGTCTCACCCTTGGGCAGACCTCACTTGCTCCACCAAGCACCCTGCTGGGCACCCATTTCCCCAGGCTTGTCTTTCCCCCCCCGCCCCCAGGATTCTTTTTATTATTTTTGAGCAAAAGTGCCTTTTCTTTCAACACAGAAAATATAAATACTGCAGTCTTGTTTGCCAAAGATGTTTGTTTTTCCAGTTGCTCCAATGAAGTTTCACAAACAGAGGAGTGAATTCCAATTAACTCCACAAGTGTTTGTCCCCAAGAAACCATTCAAGAAATACAACAACATATTAGTGCTCGCAGGCATATCAGCCTCGAAAGGAGAACCAGGTATAGTTAAATAGACCATTCTTCAGTGCTCACAAGTGCCCCGATCCTGCTAACACTTGAGCATTGCTGAGCCTGTAACGGGGAGGAAGGTCTAGACAGAAGCTAAGTAAGAAAGAATGGAAATTGTTTTCATTACTGTATTAAAGAGACCTTAAAAAAAAAATCAATTCTCGCTTGTCCTTGTGGCATATGCACAGGAAAGAAAAAACCCATTTTGAATAACTGTGGTTTATTGTTTTTAAAGGCTATATGCATCTTCCGCTTCACAGAAAAATAATTTGCTTCTCAAAATTACATTCTCCATCCTTACGTGCCCGAGACGCGCGTTGAAGATCGCAGAAATTACTGGCTAAGAGATCTCTGAAGTTAATACGTTTCCATCCCTGCCAAAGCAGCCTGGGGTGGGAGATGCTGTGGACTGGGCGAGACAGGGGGGACCTGGCCCAGGCGCTGCCCAGCAGAATAAGATTCACTATCAGTGAATGAAAAGGGAAATAAATGAATTTGCTTAATGTTCTCATTTCGAGTTGCACGGCTGCTGCCAAGATGCATAAAGATCAGCACTCAGACATCTTTATTTTCCAGTGCGACCGGAGGTCTGGCCCCAGGTCTGCTTTCCCTGCACCAGAGAGGCAGAGCAGACTTGGAGATGAAAGAAAAGAACATTATTGCATCCACATGCAAGTTTTGTGCCGGTGATACCTGGTTTGCTTTTCATCCACTGCTCTACCTTTAGCATCGAGTGCTTTCTCAGGTGGGAGGCTTCCATTCAGCACACTCTGTAATAAAGCCCGAAGCTGATGAAGGACGACTGCTTCGCATGCTTCAAGGTCGTCTTCTTTCAGACTGCCAGCCCGATTACAAAAGCTACAAAATAAAGCAGGTATCACATGCAACGTTTATTTAGAGCCCAGACAGCCAGCATCGGTTTGGAGGCAGAATCTGTAACACACCTCCTGGCTAAGGGGATGACCAGTGGGACAGCCCAGAGGGACAAACACCCGTGACACGCTCTGCGAAAGCTGTGGAACTGGGCAGGGAGGTCAGACCCAGTGCTCAGAAAATGCTGGGTTTAATCTCACACCTTTGCTTTTTGGCAGGGCGAGAGGAACCTGCGCACACCCACGGGGTGAAGCCACTCCATGGCCAAGGCAGCTGTGCCGCAGGAACCCGTCTCCAATGGCAGGCCGGGGGGCCAGGGCGGTTTGGCAACCCTTCCTCCCGATTCCCTAGAAATCCTCTAACCATCACGTGCTTATGAGAACCCCATGCTACGGAGGCCGACATACGATTTCAAATAGAATTACAAAGCCATTCCCAGTTCTTGTAATTAAGGGCCCATGCTGCGGGGGGCACAGTGAGGGCGCTCTGACCCTGGTTTTGTTAACAGGTGGGGTTTGGTGATTCTCTTTGCTCTTTTACCTTGAAGAAATTGTTTTTCTGGTTATTGATGTCTACCTCAGTAAATCATATTAGCATTACTAGCCAAGGGGATGCTCTCATCCTTGGAAAAAGTATTTACTTGGCCTAAGAGATCTGTGGAGCAAGACTGTAAGAAGTGCTACATTTAGGAACGAGTATTTGTTGGAGTAATTTGTGTACGCGCTTCTAAGTGCCATATTTCAGCTCCCTGGTGACATTAAAACGGTGGAAGGGGAGGGAGGCCTCTTAGCAACTAGCAGTGTTTGTTTGCAGGAGCCCGCTTGCTCTTTGCACCGGCCATTTGTCACCGCAAGAGCGCGGACCCCTGGCCCAGCTCTCCACAGGCTCCTGCAAAGCTGCTCGGAAACAGCCTCTCGCCATTGCTCACCTGAATTCAATTAGAAGCGTGTAAGCAATCAACAACAAAATTATTACAAGCATTACATCGGGCATATGGCAGCAAGCAAACAAGAATAGAGGGAATGGGGTTAAGGCAGGAGGAGAGGCAGCTCGCAGGGAAGCGGCACTAACCTGAGCAGCTCCGCTGTCCCCGTCGTCCCCAGGCGCTCGCCCTGGTACAGTGCCCGGCGCTGGGGGCTCGTCCTCACCACCACCTCTTCTATCAACTGCAGCGCGCGGGAGAGTCCCGCCAGCGTCCCGCCGTGCCTGCGGACGGACAGAAACAGGGCTTGAAGGGACCTGAGCTGCACTGCCATCACACCGGCTGGAAAAACAAACGCCCTCATTTTAGCTTTTCACAGCAAACAACAGCAAAAGCCACATTGCTTGAGCGATGTAAAAAACCAAAAAAGCACATGAGCAAACAAACCATTCGGGGGGAGGGGGGGGGAAATCAGCCAAGGCCTGAGATGCTGCATTGAAATTACCCTGCCCCGAGCAGTTTAATTCCTTCACCTCCACAATCGGAATAAATCTGTTGACCACCTACAGGTACGGGGACATAACTGGGACCTCAGAGGGGTTTTGATGAAGCTGCACCTCTATGATGATGCAAATCAGGACTTAAAACACTGAAACAATACAGCAGGCTAATCCTCGAACAGAGGTGTAAATGGCTATTCAGGTCCGGGCCGGCTGCCTGCTTTGTTGGGGACTTTCCAGGCCAGGTCTCCACCAGCAATGCCCCAGCTGGGCCTGCGCCCGCACAGCCCCACAAGCAAAATAAAGATTTTCTTTTTTCCCCCCCTGCCCCGTATGTAGAATCCAACATATTTATACAGTTAACCTTTGTTTACGCTCCCTCGAGTGAAAAGCTCCGCGCACAAGAACAGGCATGGTTTTTGCAGTCCTGTTAAGCTGTACCAAAAGTTGTGTTTTCCACCGGACTGTTGGGCAACAGCGAACAATTAAGCGGGAGCTGCCGCGCATTTAGTCGAGTTTCCAGACATTTAATAAGCAAAACAATACCAGGGAGATCACATATGCAGTTAAACAGTGCTTTTTCTTTTCCCCCAGTCTTACAAACCCTGTATTTTAGCGGCCGGCTCGTTTCCCATTGTTTTCCTCCCGCTGGGTGGTCCTTCCAGGGTGCCACTCGAGAGGGATACAATAATAAAAAGGGAAGGGGAAGGAAGGGACACCAACATAAAGAAAAACAAAATGTATGACAATCTGCAGCAGGCTACGGATCAGAGGTCAGCAAACAAGAGGTCCTTCTCTTTTACAGGTTGCTTCCTGGAAACAGTCTGATTAAGCTGACAGCTTGAATTATGTGTTACATTTTGTAATGCACAATCCATCTGTGCTAAGTCCTCTTCAATGCAGCTGAAGCAGCACAGGCATAAGCTCTGCCTTTTTCCACCCCCTCAGCACAGGCCTTAAAATAGTCATCATCTTTCTCTGCGCTAATTCTCCGAGACCCTCTGCCCCCCCGCTCCCGCTCCCCGGGTTTAAGCCCTTAAAGAAAAGGCCGGGTGCTGTAAGGAATGGTAAGAGGATACGGAGCCTTTCACCTCCGGTTCCGCAAAAAAAAAAAGGCGCCCAAGGACGGGAGCTTGCGGGTGGCTTCACCTGGCGGGAGGGAAAAATCGGGTGCCTCCGCAGAGCCGCTCAGGCGAGCCAGGCAAGCCCCCCGCTCGCCAGCGGGCTCCTGGGCTGCAGACCTGAACGCAAAATACAGGGGTCAGGCTCTTGCACGGGGCTAAAGAGGTGCGGGACAACCTCTGATTGACCCAGCAGCGCTCCCAAGCACGGCATTGAGTTATTAAAAATGATGATTGCAGAAAATAAGGTAAGCCAAACCGCAGCACCCTGCTGCGAGCCACGACCAAGACGCAGAGCTCATACCAACTAACCTTGCACAGCAACATCACCCTCCTCTGGCTAATAACCTGATAATGTTGTCATGATAACCATTCCTCTAGCTGGCAAAGGCAGTCTGAAATGAGGCTGAACTCACCCAGAGGTAAAATACAACCTGCAAACATTTACTGGGGGGGGAAAAAACAAAAAAACAAAACTTCAAAAAAAGACAATGGTATTTCTGCAGTAAGCTAGGAAGGGCATTTTTCTCCAAAAATACAAACTCGTGACTTCCTGACGTGCAACAAGGATTTTGTTTTGCCTTTTGAGTGAGCTATGACCCCTGCACACGAGAGCCCCTTCCCCCCTCCGTCACTAATGTCCTAATTTCAAGTAAGGCACCAAAAGCGTACCAACGGCCCAAAGGAGGCAGGTGAGGAATGGCACCTCGGTCAGCTGCCGCAGCAATGACACCGCTGCGCTGGGAAAGCCCAAGCTACGGGTATTTTAGGTTAAGACAACAAACATAAAATAGTTTTGCAGGATTTCTGCATATTTCTTCAACCTGTGTAGGAATTTCCTAAGGGAAGAACCACATGGACTGAAGGCACATGGCAAGAGCTGTGGTATTACTCACTGAGTTTGTGGCACAATATATTCAGACCAAAAAAAGCTGCATTCTCCTAGTCTGTGTAATTTATATAATTGAAATTCATGCACTGATTACTTGGAAACCTTTCCCCCAAGCTTTTCAGCTCATGAATTATTTTGCAAGGCTCCAGCATGCCCACTGCGTTTCACGTGCACTGGGAAGACGGACTCAGGAAGCCCACCTGGCTGTAAGCACAACTAGGGAAAAGGATGCTTAAACCCCCACGAGACCTTCCGTGCCTGCCACGTTTGAAATGTTACCTTTGTTTTAATTTTCAGGTAAAACAAATTAAAATATCCATCTTTTCTGCAGAAACAGCCAACAGCGGCGGTCCCACTTCCGTGGCCTTGAGAAACAGAGGTATTCAGCTTGGCATAATGCGAGAGGAAACCTCCGCATCGCGGTCTCAGTCGTGCTCCGGAGATAACGTGAGCAGTGAAGCCTTTCGTATAATTTAGCCGGGCTTCAAGAGCATTGCACAATATTTTCATCAGCTTATGAACAGCGAGGCATCGCTAGCATCGACAGGGAGAGAACAAAAGGTTAAATTACCATCGCTCAGCTATGACTTCTCTAGCAAAGGCAGACACTCTATGCAACTTCCCTACAAAGTGTTATGATTAACAGGTGTTATACAAAAAAAACCCTGGGTAAAAGCTATTTAGATGTAAATTAGATGATGTTTCCATAGCAAGCAACAGTGACGCAAACGTGAAATTATAAAGTTACAGAAGCGTATATTGATGGCCACTAGTTTCTGCTCAACTGTCATCTATTAAAACACAAACTAATACTGAGATCAGTACCTAAGGCAACGTGACCACGGACATAGGGAGAAGGGATGTGTTGAGCAGATAAAAAAGCTGCAAAGCTGCAACCAACCAAAAAGGAAAAAAAACCCCAAACCCAAAACCAACCAGTAAGAGAGTATTCCTTGCTCTCCAGGGGTTAAATTGCTGGTTTCTTTCATAGGTGGTCTCTCCCGAGCCCACAGCCACCACCTAACCACCCGGTAGCCAGTACCGAGCTCCCTGCTCCAGCTGGGAGCATTTTGCATGTGGGTAGCGCCCGCGCAAGGTAGGGAGACCCAAGGGGAGCAGCACCCGCTGGAATACAGCCCGTGCCCGCAGAAAAGGCTTTCTTCAGTGTTTCTGTTGCAACTGGGAGCAGGAAAACACTGGTGAGGAGGGAGAAGGGTGTTGAGGGTACCGAGGACAAGGAAACAGAAGGGTGCCACCAAGGGAGAATGGGCAGAAGAAAGGCAGCGTTCGTAGGTCACGGAACTGTGGGGTCAGGCCGGGGTGAAGGGGGAGGTGGACGTGAAGCACTGCAGAGGGAACCAGCGGCAAACAGACTGTTGGAACTAAGAGACAGGAGGTCAAAGCAGGAGGGATGCTCCCGCAGCAAGGCGGCATGGCAAGGCAGGGAGCCAGGAAGGGATGGCGGCCGTTGGCATGGGGCCCCCCCACGTGGACCAGCAAACCTCGCGGACCATCTCGCTGTGGGTACTGCCCAGCCAGCACGGGGATGTGCTTCCCTGTCTTACGAGGGCATTGCAAGGCCAAAAACTCAGCCGTGATTGATATTGCAGCTGATGCTCTGCTACTGCAGTTGGTGGGGATAAACCCCCACCGCCTTCGCACAGCAGCAGAGGCCAAGCCATGCACCTGTGTCACACTTTCCTCATTCTTTGTTCTCCATTTCCAAACGAAATGCTCAAGAAATTTAACCAACCGGGTATCTTAATCCACACAAAATATGCTGGTTTGTAAATTTTAAGTACTGTTATATAAACTTGTGGAAATAAGATTTGTATACATTTAAAGAACATCTACTGCGTTTTAATAACAAACATATCTACCCTGTCCAAGTCTGACCTGAATGAGTCACCTGAAGCCATTTAACCACTAGCACAGAGGTAGCAAGATACTAAGTGGTTGAGTCCCCATCCCTGGGGTATTTAAAAGCCAGGCAGATGAGGTGCTTAGGGCCAGGGTTTAGTGGTGGGATGGCAGGGCTAGGGGAACAGTTGGATGATGATCTTAAAAGGCTTCCCCAATCTGAACGATTCTGTGATTCTAAATAAATAGGGGAGAAGTTTGCCCACCTCTACGCAAGCTTTAGTGCCATGCATCAGCCAAGCTGTGAAAACAGCCTCCAGGGCACCTGCTAACGAATGAGTACCCAAAGAATAGCTAAGGACATACCCGCCTGGTGCAGTGCTGACCAAGGGCTCCTCCTGTGCTGTGGGAGGGTTTGGTGGTTGCAGCAGGGAGCCCTCCGCAGTGTGGGCATCCCTGCCCCACTCCCGGCCGTCCGCTGGCAAGGCCATTCCCTGCAGCATGCCAGGAGCACTCGGCATCGCCTCCTCAGCAGTCGCAGGGACAGGGAGCTCAGTGCTGCTCTCCCAGCTTGCCTCCTTACTCAGGTGAGGCTTTGGTCCTGTAAAAAAAAAAAGTATTCCCAAACATTAGCAGGACCAAGGAGCACATCACAGCGTAGGGAAATAAGCTAAGGTTACCTATGCTCTTTGTTCACCTCTCTCATGGGACAGCATCCCTCTGCCCTGCCTTGACTTTGGGTTTCCCTGCCCACGGCCCCGTGTCCTGCTGTGCTCCCCTCGCAAGGGGGAGTCCGGGGAGGCCCCAGGCCCCCACACTCACGCCTTTTGGCTTTGCAGCCCCCAGCGGGTGGGGAGACAAACTCCTCAAAAACCATCACCGGCACAAAGACCGGCTACTTCACCAAATCACCTCTGGAGCAACCATGAAACAGAAAAGCTGGAAGAAGCTTTTCTAATTGGGGAGGAGAAAGTGCAGCTGAAGAGGGCTACTATCGTACACATTTTATAAACCTCGCAGAAGAAATACATGCTTGGAGGCTTTTAAACTCTGCACATCTAATTGCCTTCTCCAACAGAAGAGAGTACAGGGCTGAATCACACTTTAAGACAACAGGCACACGCTACTTATCATTTTATAGAATGCCAAAAGTTCATGGACCAGCTAGTGCTGTAACAAATTAGTATTGCTACAGAAATTCCCAGTTTTCCATAAAATTCACCATGGGTCTAAATTAACCAGCATTCGCACACCTGCTAACGCTACAGCACCAGCATTTCTGCTCATCTTGGTCACGAAGTTTCACTGGAACCAAATTGCTTAAGGTTCATGCCAAACACCAGCTGGTGCCAGGATGGGCTCTCTTAGCCTCGTTTCTGAATTTGTGAAGCAACCATGTACCACAGAAACGTCACTACTGCGCTCGCTGAGAAACAAGGATGGAGACGAGTGGAGTTTTTATCTCCAGTTTGCGGAGTGCAAAGGAAGGGGCCATTTTCTTGCTCTGTTAACCTGAGGGAAACGGGATTTCTTCCTTCCGACGTTTGTGCTGCCACTGCCGAGCAGCGGCCAGGGAGCAGCAGGAGAGGATGGCAAGGGCCGCTCTGCGCAGAGCGGGCGGCAGAGCCCGCTCGCTCCAGGTACGGCACAGCCAAGCGCCTGCCTCAGCTGCCATCATTTGCAGCGTGGAAGGTCAAGCTTAGGAGAGCCAGAGCAAGGCAGACCCCTCCGCACATTCAAACCTGATGGCATTAGCCTGCTCCCTTCGCAGCACGCGTTTGGCAGCTGACAGGCATAAAAAGCCCCCCAGGCCGTCTGAGGTGATTACCGTGCTGTTTGACAAAAGGCTCATTTTGATTTTGAGCCCCACTGTACAGTGTCTCTGAAGGCAGAGA